CCTATTATCTTATCTCCGTCCACTGCGGTACCCCTGACCGTCAAAAACTAGATCTTAATATTAAACTGTAAATTTACATAAATAAACAAACTTATTTAATTGTACTCCACTCTCCATGCTTCATACACTTATACGTTGAGTTATTTCATCACGTTACGATACGCACTTTTTTATCTCCTGATTAACATTATTAATTTGAATCCACAATGTTGATCACCCCTGGAGATTTAATACCAGTCCAACCAGAAGCCACAATTATACCTTGGACCAGAAGAAAGTCGCAGGTTAGATATATTTTTTAAAAGTAAGTGTCTATAAAATAGTCTCAAACAATGTTTTATCACTTTTTACGCTGATTTTTAAATGGAAGTGATTTTTTGCTTCAGCAGTCATCACAATTATAGTTTTCCAATGTATTTACTTGTTATTCAGTTTGCATGTAATGAGCTAATTTTATAATTTAGCTTAGACCATTGATTAAATGGGTCTGTCCTAGGAGTCCTAGAGAACGATTTTTGGACACCCCGCCCCCCCCCAGCCTGAGCCTGAGTCCTCAGCCACACTTCCTGAATGACACTACTTTTTCCTGTAACAAACTAAATTTTTGTTTTGACCCACTTTCAGTAGGCAGATTTTGACGATTTTTTGGAAAGCCTGTGACATGAGAAACGGATTGCACAAGTTTTGCAAAGAAATTTTTGCAAATTATTTGCATACAAATGATACAACCCGTCAAAAGAAATTTGCACATTTTTAGTTTTTTTTTAATTATACTTCAGGTTAGAAGAAATTTTGCAAAACTTTTTGCTTATTTACAATGGCTTTTCTAAATGTGTATTTTCTCATTTTTTAGACATTTTTTTGTTGCAAATATTTTTATGTAAAACTGGATTTTGCAAAAAAATACAATTTTTGCAAAATTGCAAAATTGTTTGCAGATTCTAAAAGTGGAACATAAGATTTTTCCAATGATGTATCATTTGTCATATTTTAACATCAAACTTGGGATTTAGAGGGGGGTCAAATTGACCCCCCCCCCCCCAGCGTATCCTGGTTTTTAAGTACTGCAGCAGGGATAGGGGTTAAGGTTTTATCTTTTTAAGAATGTATGTGGGTATCCGTCAACTTTTGTTTGAAAATTAATTATTTGTAACTGGGCTTGTCCCCCTTTTAATGTAAGGCCACTAGAAATTATAAAGATTGTCTCTTTTAGCTTGAAAATTTAACAATATTACATTTTCAGGAAGTTGACCGCAGCTAAACCCGTTCCATACTGCAGCACCCTGGAAATGATCGCCTGCGTTGGAGAAATCGAAGGTATTTTGAGCTTTTCATTAAGATAAAAACATGCCATTTTTAAAGGCGACATTAAGGTATTGTCTATTTGGAAAAATGACACTTGGAGGAACATTATAAATTTGGGAAATTGTTCATTTGGGAAATTTTGCAATTAAGAAATTGTTCACTTGGGAAATTGTACATTTAAGAAGTTGCATTTAAGAAACTGTTCACTGGGGAAATCATTTCTTGAGCCGGAGTACCCATATTTTTAGACACCCAGCACATTTTGGAATGTGGTTTTCGGAAATTTCCACCAAAGAAAATGCATAAATTCTTAGTGACGTTTTTTAAATAAAACACAACTTTGATTTGCTTATTAGATTTTCTTTTTTTCTTTTTTTCTTATTTTCTTATTTACTTCAAGGGTGCCGTAGTGAATCGGACATTCCATGGAAAGTCACTTGAAATTACGCCTACATTCCCTTTAAACTATTCTATTTAGCCGCCTGGGGTGATTGTGGCAGCGCAGCTGATATCTTTGGCTGCATTGAAGATATTCTGGGAGCTTCTGACTGCTTTGCTTGTGTTTGTGACGTTCTAGGATACCTTGGAATTGATCTTTGCTAGTCGGACTAAATGTATGAACAGTTATTGATAAAAATATATATATTTGAAAAAGAGTTGCAGCTTTTTTGTTTGACAGATGTGTAATAATTATTAGGATATGGAATTGGTCAGTTCGGAAACCTGAATTGATTTTTTTAAAATTTTAATCAGTTTGAATTTTATGTTATACATAGAACATTTTCGATCATTTTAAGATTAAAATCATTGCATTTTGCGTGATTTATTTTTTCTATGTTGTCAAAAAAAGTACTTTTATTAAAGGAAAACTTAAAAAAAATCAAAGTTGTTAAATTCATATCTCTGCAATACAGAAATCAATTGAAAGACATGTTGGAAATGTCTGGAACAAGGCTATGTTGTTGTATAAAAAATATTTCTAAAATAAGGTTGCCAAATAAATTAGGATTTCCAACTCACTAAATTATACATTGCTCAGCCCAGAAATTATCTAATCTTATTCTTTTAACCCTAAATTTAAAATATATAATTTAAAGTATTATTTACGGCCGATGTGGAACTTTTTATTAAGAAATCGTAATTTTTTTTTACTTTTTAACCAACTCCTTTCTATAAAACTTTTGTCTTGGATGGAATTGTTCGTTTCTAAGAACGGTACGGGGGCTGGAAACATTCTTGATTAAGAACAGAACAAGAACTTCAACTAAGAACGCCAAGATCGGAACGGAACGGGAAGACCGTTCTTCTACTCAGAAAGGAACGGAATGGGACGGAACATGACTGAACGGGACGAAACGGAACGAGAACGGAACGATAAAAAAGAGGAACGAGAACGGAACGATTTGGCTGAAGGCCCTCGTTCTAGAACGAAACGGAACGATTTCAAAAAAGTCGGAACGTGCCCAGCCCTAAACGTAGCATCCTTATATTTTTCGCGAGCACTCCCTTTAAGTTTAAGTTTAAGAGGAGTAATTGGCAAAATATTGCTCAATTTATGTGTGAGATTTGCATAGATTTGCATTGTTCTATCATGCATCAGGTTGCAAAGTAAAGTTTTAGGCAAGTTTGCAGTTCCTTTTTTTAAGCATCGTAATTAAAAACAAACTCTTTGGATAATTGTGTGCAATCCCATGGATAACTAATTTATACAGTTTACACTTTTAATCAACCTTTTAATGAGATTTTTTCTTGCAAAATTGCACAAAACAGAATAACTCAAAAGCGGAATAGCGGACTTTTGCTCGAAATCAATTTTGCAGATGATTGTGCAAATTGCTATTTTTTCGCGAAAAAATGTAAAATAGTCTCATGCAGTCTGAAATAGTCTCATGCAGTCTGAAATAGTCTCATGCAGTCTGAAATAGTCTCCTGAGTGAAGTCTTCATTAGTCTGGTGCAAATTTTATTTTAATTTCAAATTAAAAAGATGTGTTTTGAACGTTTTTTCTGGTAAATATTAGGGAAATTTTGGCTTGCATGTCGACTTTAAAATGAGATAAATCGAAGAAGACTGCTTTCCCCAATTTTTTTTTCATATTAGGACGTCATGGGGCTTATTCAAACCGGGAATAGTTTGTTCCAAGGTGTTAAATCAAAAAAGTTGATTGATGACTTTAATAAACAGTGGTCGTGGAGTTCATATTCTTTGCGGGACGATAATTTGGCCGCTAGATGTCTGACGGAATACGAGAGACGTCTAGTGGCCAAACTATTGTCCCCCAAATCGTACGTGAACAATTCTTGAATAAGTCTCGTGGAGTCATCTTAAATTAGTTTCTTGGATTAGTCTCGTGGAGTCGTCATAAATTAGTTTCTTGCATGTTATTATTCCATGTATCTCAATCTAGTAATCTACTGGAAGTCTTAGTCTGTGCTGGTGAAGTCTTTGCTAGTTTATTTGTTATTAAAAACATTCTCGATAGTTGTGTTATATATATATATATTTTAGATTTTAAATTTTCTGCACCGTGGTCCTGTTACATTCAAGACCCTGGTATATGATACAAATGTTGGAGATATTTCATCACTGGCCACTTATTTTAACCCGGAAAGGGTATCCGTCAAGGATCTAAATTCAAGGTAATTTGCATGGCCGATTCACAGCAGATGTATTTATTCTTTTTATATCGCTCAATTTATGAAACTGTTATTAAACGGGTTAATTAAACGAAATTTTCTTTTTCCCGATTAGCTAAGAGAAATTACTCTCTCTAAGGTGTTAAATCGAATCTACAATATTATATATAATTGTTTTGGATACCTTGTATCAGATTGCCACGTCAGCAAGTCCTTAAGATCATGTTTTTGGGACTAAAATCCTAATTTCAATTTAATTGACCCTCAATGCTAAGATGACAAGTTCCGATGTGAATACCTTGACTGTTTATATATCTACATAATTTTTATAATTTGTATGATTTTGAGAACAGATGTTCCTAGTTCTCTTCTTAAAAGTGACCTGCGTATTTTTTTTTAATTCTATTTATTCGTAAACTATTATAATGGTAACATTTTAAAGTCAACGAGGAACGAGATATATAACATATAAAATATACAGTTTTAAACAATAAAAAAACTTTTGGTTAGGTTTTACATATATCGTTGATAATTTCAGCATAATTAAATCTTTCAAAAACATTTTGATTTGACCGGATTAACCAGATTAATAGTAAATCTTTTAACTGAAGTGGAATTCTCCACGCATTTTCAGCCGGATTCGCGTAAATCATGTTTGACTTTACTAGAGACTTGTTCAATGACAGTTTTTCTACGTACATAGGTTTCATATGCAATATTAGATAAGTTCTTGTATTATTTTGTTCTTTGGTCATTTTTGCATAAATCAAACAATAATCGGATGCAGAGCTTGGGATTTATACACATAGATTCGCAAAATGATACAAACCGGCTACACAACATAGTTTTTAAATGTATTTGTTCAGAAATGTGTTCAATAAAATATATATTTTATCTAAAGAGAAAAGACTACAAAATCTTCCACATTATTGATCTGTGATCACATACTGGGTTCAAGGGTACCGTTGTGAATTTGGTATTGCCATCTCTGTATGGAGATTCGCTTGAAATTACAATTACAGTCCCTTTAAATAGGTAATAACTTGTTTTTTAGATTTGGTCAGCACCCTAGCAGTGGAGATAATAGCAAGGAAGAAGATGTAAAAGTAGGATCTGAGAATGTTATTAAACCTCGTCTTCTCCTTTACCCGGAGCATAACCTAAACCATTCCCAGGTAAACCGTTTTCTAACTCTTTAAAGCCTTGAATCTTAACTGCACGGATAGGTTAATTTATCTAGTATCTCGCTAAAAATGGCAGGGTTTTAAACAATTTTTTTAGATCTCTGAATTCAAGTAATGGACATGAAATCAATGCAATGTCTACTATTTACCATGATGTTAGGTACTTTTCCACCAAGTGGCAACTTCTCGAGGGTATTTTCCCGAGAGGCAACTTCCTAAATGTGCAATTTGCCAAGCGGCTCCAGTCTGTTCTAGCCGAGTCACTCGGCCTCTAGCCGCCATCCATCCTAGCCGCAGCGTTCGGCCTTCATTGCAACCTGCGGTGCATTAGAAAGCCTAATCTTTGGGAAGTTTCCGCTTGGTAAATTGCACATTTGGGAAGTTGCCATATGAACTCCTAAAGCATGATTAAACCTTAGAAGTTTAAGGGTACCGTTGCCATCTCTTGAAATTTCTTTTATAAGTTTAGAGTTTTTGTCTTTTATTTATTCATCTTGGATTTATACTAAGACAGACTTGGATCGAAACTGTTTTGGTCGAACTTATAACTATATCCAGGTTAAGGTTCAACGCACACTCAAGTGGGTTCTATCTCACCAGGATGGAGAGGACAACGCAGACCTGTCCCGTCTCCCCCCTACCGACAACATTGGATCCGTCCGTCTGGGACCAGCTGATCACATCTCATCCATTCGACACGCATCCGCTGATAACATTGTTCCAACCCGGCTCGGATCGATAGATAACCTATCCTCCACCCGGACCGGATCTACGGATAATCTATCCGGATCTCTGGATGTACGTTGGAAGCGAAGTTCCGGACCAGTGACTGGAATCCGGATCGGAGAAAATCTGAATATTAATCAAGGTAAATTTGAACTATTATTTTAACTTAAAGGCCGTTTATAACTATACCCTTGCCTTTATCTGATTAATAAATGGGTTTTGTTTTAACCTTCAGAAAATCCTAGGGTACCTAGATGGGTCCGTCATGGTTGTGTATAAACTGTAGGGTCCTTAAAAGTCAAAACGGATAAAACACTTTTTCATAAATTGGGAAATGGTTTGCACAAGATTTCAAAGATTCGGGATTATGTGAGATCTTCGGGTAGGACTTTTACTGCAGGACTTTTACTTGTTCAGATTTTGAGTTAGCTTTCATTTATCTAGGCCCTCGTCCTGTCTCTAGACCTGCCTCTGTCTCAAGATTGACTCCTATCGGTCATCCTCTGAACCCTGAGCAGGTTCCTAGCTCAGATACCAGCAGTGTAATGGGGATACAGGAGCTCCGAACCCTACCTAGTACCATGCCCAACCTATCCTCTGCGTTAAATAGGTAAACTACTTAATCAAATGTCGTCTTCTTGATTTTTCTTACAGAATCTACACTGTTAACCACGAATGACGACTGTACAGAATTTTTACTTTATTCATGTGTAATATTAATTAATCCTTTATTCTAGTTATATTAATTATTCCTTAACTGTAAACCTTTTTCTTTCACAATGATAAGCATAAGCAATTTAAAGGCTAAATAGGGCAGAAATCCTATTAAAACCACTCTACAAATTAAATTGTTGTATATGGGTCAAATTTTTATCAAAAATATTTAGAAAAACTAAACGCCCGTTGGAAAAAGGGTTTATGTGAATGATTTTTAATTCTCTTAACACTTGAGGCTTCTTTGTTGCATTTTAGATTTATTGAATTTAATAAATAGGCGAAATTGCAGCTGAACCTTGAACCTGATTCTTTCCCATTCCCAAAAACGAGTTCCTAGATTGATCGTTTTTATGAAATTTCAATCAGTTCCTAGATTGTGATCGTTTTTATGAAATTTCAATCGCTGCGTATTACTGTGCATTATTGACTCGTCAATGTCGTTTTCCTATTTGTTTAAAATATCTTTATTGGGGCGTAGAACTGCAAGTCGTCTTTTGTAAGTTTTAGGTGAAGGTTTTAACAAATCATATATAGTATTATTTTTATTTCACTTTTTTCAGCATTAATTTATAATTCAAATTAAAATTCTTATTGTTAACCTTACTTTTGATTTCAGTGTATGGAGTGAACTGCCCCGTGATATGAGCATATCCCATGAGAGTATTGATCGTTGGCCATCCTACGAATCCAAGGAGGTCTCCTGGTGATCGTTGCCCAGATCGGTAATCCAAGAAGTGCTCACGGTGATCGTTGATTACCAACAAACCTGTTATTCTAGACGTATCGGCTCTCGTCGTAAATATGAAATGAATTGACTAATTAAGCTATGCAAAGCTAAAATGTAAATATGTATGTGACGTTTTTGAACATGAAAAAATTTATTGACAAATATAATAATTGTTCAGTTAGAAGTCAGTTTATTTAGGGCAGTAACAAATTGAGCTGTTTTTTACTAGGATCTTGAGACTGAATTGTCATCCGAGAGTAAAGACTACTTGAAGGTTATTTTAGTCATCTGGCTCTGACAAAGTCTTGAAATGACTAATAAAATTGTTTCGCAAATGAAGAAAATGTCACAACTACGGGGAATTGGGTAAACCTGTGTTTAGAGTGAATATACACCTGGTTGGTGTATTGTTGCATTGCAGCATTGCAGATGGATTCGGAAATTTAAAGCTTCATCTGAAATTCTGAATTCGCCAAAATCTGCGGAATTTTGGGGTTTGAATAATATTGAAAAATTGCTGAATCGCATCTGTTTAATAAAGAGAATTGCTTAATGTAATTCTGTGAAAAGCTAGAGTTCGCAGATAGATACATAAGCGAAAACATTAATTACATCTGTTTGAAAAATCTTCATCTTCAAACATTTATGACCTTGACAAATTTCTTTCGTATTTCCGATTTTTTCGCGAAAATCATGCGGCATTTTGCCCTTTTTAATAATTAAATTGAAACTGAAAGCAGCGGATATTTTACAGGTAATTTGATCAATTTTATTGAAAAGAGAAACTTAGGTATTTGCTTTATTTGCCGGAGAAGTAAAAATACTTTGGACCGATTAAAGATTTCTAACTACAATTTCAAATCTGCCTCCTGCTCTATGTGCCCTTAATTTAGACTGATAACAAATCTAAATCCAGTCTTTTTATATTATAGATGAATGTTCGCCCTGGATTTATTACGGAGGGAACGTCTTCTTTAACATACCCACATCCAGTTCCCGGATGTTCTGTATGTGCAATAAGGTATTGGCTATCTGGATGATCTGGAGATAAAATTATTTTTCAGAATTTTACCAACTTTAAGAGTGGTTAAAAATCTAAGAAAGTTGAGAATTTTTAACAACTTCATAGAATTGTTATTTGAGAATAAAAAGTTTAGTGTTTGTAGAGAAAAAGATGACTTGTTTGACACCCCCTCCCTGTGTTGCCAGCAGAAAAGAGAATGAATAGAATAAGTTTGCTGACCTAAGTTAATTTATTAAATGACTAAATCAAATCAATTCTTTATAGTTTGAATATCTATTAGTTTGAAGGAATGTTTGACATGTGTCTGTTCGTTTGTTCACGTTATGAAACAAAATAACGTGGTCGAACCGTTGCGTTGAACTCGTTAAACTTTATGAACCAATGTGTGGCAATTTTATAACTGTTTAATCAAAATTCTGCCAACATTGAAACCTGTGCAAAATTCTTGGACCACAAATCAACGTTCATTTACAATTGAAAAAGTTGAGTGACTGAGTTTTGCCTCTTCAAAATATGCCATTATGGAATGGATATCACAAAAACCGTCTAGGAAGGCTGATTCCAAATAAAACATAGTTGACAACTTAATAAGTTTTACTTTTATTTAAAATTCAGTCATTAATGACACAAACTGCGAGACTTTTTATTTTAAAAAACCTTAAGAAAAAGCATACATATTTATTTTTGATGAGTTTTTTTTGTCAAGGTTTAGGCCCTCCCCCCAACCCTCCTTTGCTACAGTAGGTATGAAAAGCCTTTTTTTTCCCAATTTTCAACTGTATATATTAAAATAAATTGGTATAAAAGGATATCAAGCTTAGTCTAAATTTGATGATTATTATCAACAAATAAACAACATAGTGTATCAACTGTGTGTCTTTTTTTCTCTGTTTAAAAAGATTTGAGATTGGTCTCTGAACGTAATGAGAAATATCTAATAAAAATACGAGTGTGTATCATTCAAATCCTAAAAAGAGGGATATGAGATTCGAATTTCAAAATTTTAAACTGTGTGTCTTTTTTTCNATGAACAACTTTTCTGAAATCTGTAGAAAGGATTGAGTATAAGGGATGAACAACTTTTCTGAAATCTGTAGAATGGATTGAGTATAAGGGATGAACAATTTTTCTGAAATCTGTAGGATGGATTGAGTATAAGGGATGAACAACTTTTCTGAAATCTGTAGAATGGATTGAGTATAAGGGATGAACAACTTTTCTGAAATCTGTAGAAAGTATTGAGTATAAGGGATGAACAACTTTTCTGAAATCTGTAGAATGGATTGAGCAGGGATGAACAACTTTTCAATCTGGAATTTTTCTCAACTTTTACAAAATTCAAACAAAGTGAAGTAAAACTTGACAAAAAAGTTTAGATGAAAGGAAAGGTCATTTTATTGATATTATATTGGGATATTGACCTTCCAATTAGAGAGTTGCAGGCCCGAAAATGAATATTATATCCTTATTTTTCTAAATTAAAATCAATTATTTTCAGCTTTTTCTCTATTACAGTGATTTGCATCTTTAAGCTGCAGAGACAGTAAAGAGAATCGTTGATATAGCAATGGTACCATCGTGAATTGGAAATAACACTTATAAAATGGAGGTTAACTTGAATTTACGTCGAAATCCCCTTTAATTTCAATTTTGTATTATACACTATACAGTGTACACTGTATAGTGTATATCCTAAACCGAGATATACATAAAGCACATGCACATTATGAGTCTTCATGAGACGACTGTACGGAATGTACACAGTATCTTCATGAGACGACTGTACGGAACGTACACAGTACATTGTCAGTCTCCTTCCATTCATGATTCCTTTACCACAGTAAACTTCCTTCTTTCTTCGTCAAATCATTAAGTTATTTAAAGATTATATTGAAGGCAGACGACATAATTTAAACTTAGAATCGTCAGATTTTAAGTCGTCTTTACAGTCTCATCCTTTGCTGGTAACCCTGTGCACGAAAATGTTTAGAAATTCTCCTGGAAAAAAGTTCTACATCGTCTAGCAGACTGTCTTTGTAATTTCATGACTCTCAATTAAAAAGAATGAGAGAGGCATGTTGTGAATCTGACATGCCACTTTATTAATGTGGGTCACTTGAACCTACTTCTGCATTCCCTTTAAAAGAGGAAAGGTATTATAATATTGGTATTTTGGCCACCCCTAGAGTTTTCCAATAATATATTGATCAGATTGAATTCTCTGTTTCCCTATATCTCCCTCTATATCTTCCATCAAAAGATATAGAAAACATGGCAAATATCCACAGAAAACTTTCTCGTAGCAAACTAAACAAAACCCTAAAATCAGATTTTATATATTTTATTCGAAAAAAAAACAATGTTACAGTTAGAACCAGAAAATTCTGGATTAGGAAGACGAATTTTAGACTAACGTTGTGACTTTAAATAGTAGAATTAACCTTAGATAAAGCAATATAACAGATGGATTTCACTTGATAAGTGATTAGATAAGTTACTAGTAACACTTTGTAACAACTTCAAATACACTTGATATTGAATGGTGTATACAGACAGTACAGAAGAATATCGGTATTTGTACAGTCTAGGAGAGTGTTTGTGTTTATTGTTGATTGTTTACTTAAAAATAAGTTTAATACACATGTAATATATCATTTATTTATTTAAGTCAACTCTTTAAGCCAAATTTAGCTTGGTTTGGTTTGGTTTGGTTTAGTTTGGCAAACTAAAAAACTAAACTAGTTTAGTTTAGTTTGGTTTTGTTTGTTTTGATTCGGCTTGGTTTAGTTTAGCTTCGCTTAGTTTGGTTTGGCAAGCTAAATTAAACTAGTTTAGTTTAGTTTAGTTTATTTTAGTTTATGTTTGTTTTGGTTTGGTTTGGTTTGGTTTAGTCTGGTTTGGTTTAATTTAGTTTGGTTTATTTTGGTTTGATTTGATTTGGTTTGGTTTGGTTTAGTTTGGTTTGGTTTGGTTTGGTTTGGTTTGGTTTAGTTTAGTTTTGTATAGTTTAGTTCAGTTTAGTTAGTGTAGTTTAGTTTAGTTTAGTTTAGTTTAGTTTAGTTCAGTTCAGTTCAGTTTAGTTTAGTTTAGTTTAGTTTAGTTTAGTTTAGTTTAGTTTAGTTTAGTTTAGTTTAGTTTAGTTTAGTTTAGTTTAGTTTAGTTTAGTTTAGTTTAGTTTAGTTTAGTTTAGTTTAGTTTAGTTTAGTTTAGTTTAGTTTAGTTTAGTTTAGTTTANAGTTTGGTTTAGTTTGGTTTAGTTTGGTTTAGTTTGGTTTAGTTTGGTTTAGTTTGGTTTAGTTTGGTTTAGTTTGGTTTAGTTTGGTTTAGTTTGGCTTAGTTGGTTGGTGTGGGTGTAGTTGGGTTTGGTCTAGTTTGGTCTAGTTTGGTTTAGTTTGGAGGCTGATTTAATTAGCTCTATTTCCGTATACATACATGCCAAATAAAGCAATGTATACAATTTGTACTTTTAAAAAAATATATATAAATTTTCTTTGGAATATTTTTTTGGCGGTAAAATACTTTTTTTCAATATTTCTTATCTCGGTTTTAACCATTTCCGAAAACAATAATGCTTATTTCAAAATAGATTAAAAAATAATAACTTTGTTCAGTAGTGGTGATTTTTTTAAAATTTAAGATTCCTTTTCCATTTATTTAATTGGAGGCGTATTTTATTAGATATATTTTTGTATCTGTACTCTGTATGTAGGGATGTCAAATAAAGCAATATCTGATTTTTTTAAAATTTAAAATAAAAACAATTTTTTCTGAAAAAAAAATAAATTTTTTGGTAATAAACTGCAGTTTATATTTATTTTCTTGGTTATCCAATCCATGTCCTAAAATTAATCACTACATTAAAAAGTAATAACCTCGGTTTTTGCTAAACCTTTTTCTTTTTACTGACGAACTTTTTAAAAATTTCCTTTTGCATTTTTAACACTATCATCGGCATCATAGAATGTCATCAGATACTGAAAGAAATGAAAAAATCATTTATCGATATGAGGCCATTTTGCAAATCCTCCTAAGATTAAAGTTCCCTTTATCCAACTGGGGGGGGGGTCACCGTGACCCCTCCCCCTTATTTTAAACGTTTTAAAGATGTATTATTACTGAGTGGTTACGTTTGTAGAATTGATTTTTTTTTCAAAATTCTTAAATAAAGACGACAAAAAATGTTTTAAAAAATTCGACAGTAAACTAATTAGGTGTTTAGGAACATATTTCTCAATAGAAATTTGTCAATAAATCAATGTTAGAATCAATTATTTCTTTTTCCTCATTATAATGAATTTCTTATTCTTTAAGAATTTGTTCGTAGATTTCTTCAAATTCTTCAAATGTCTTCTTTTTAATAGAAATTCCGGGAAATCTACTGAAAACGTGAACGAGAACGTGAACATTGAGACATTAAAGAAACAAATGACTCAATAAGATGATGAGAGTCAATTTTTATTTTCTCAACCTGTTCCTCAACAACTAAATGGTTTACTTTAGAATTTTTCTTGCATTTTTTGTGGGCGTTATTTAATAATTTAAAAAATATCGTTTCTCAAGACATAACCACCCATATGGATGATTTTGAACGTCGACTTTGTGCTCAAACTCCGTAAATATACATCATTAAAACGTTGTATATGTCTAAAATAATAAAATTCTCACTCTCAGTTTTACTACCATACATTGCCGGTCACTCCCTTTAAAGCTGGGTCCAAGGGCTTTCAAAACATGCATAAAATTGTATTGATTTGTATCCTAAGAAGAAAATAGGATGGGGGTCACTGTGCCTCCCCCAGTCTAATTTTAGGTAAACCATACGTCAGTTGAAATAGGGTTAACCTGGAAAAACGACCTTATAGCTTCCCAATTGTTTTGCACGGAAAGGTTTCAAGGACACCGTTGTGAATCGGGACAATTAATGCAGGGTCACTTAAAAGCACAACCCTATCAGCCAACGCAGTGGTTTGCTGGACTTTTGATCTACTCAATTGTTTTACCATTTGTAAACATTGTTAGAATATTCAAAGCCCAAAATGTGGACAAATTTTAAAACAAAGAAACAAGATCAAACGACATTATGTGTAGATAAACAAGATCAAACGACATTATGTGTAGATAAACAAGATCAAAGAGTGGACAATATTTTAATGTCGCCTAATTTAAACCGGGTTTAACTACTGGTTAGACCTCAAAAGTTGGAGCCTCCATTGCAACTATAGCTTTCGCTATTTATAAAGCGATCAGACCCCTAATAGTCGTCTAGTTCTCCCTCATTAAAATGTTTCCCCCTCTGGCCTTCCTTTAATTTGACAGATTAAAAACAGGAAAAAGAAGGAAAACAGTTGAATGACGTCAACTCAAGTGTTACTAACTTCCTTTAGTGTCATTTAATCGTAACTCTAACCCTAAAGAATGTCGGAGGATTACAAAGTACATCTTAACATGCAATTATTTGTCAAGTAAGTCAGACAACTAAATCTAATAAATATCCCCCTAGATATATGCTCAGGTGGTAGGCGATTATATCAATATAATGAAGACAACTTTCGGTTTAAATTTAGATTTTTATCAACCTTTGATACAACAAAACACGGAAACAAAGAGAAGCTGTCAATTTAAAAAGCTTCTCTTTTATTACTTGCAAACTTGTAATTCCAAAAAAGCTTTTTAACAATTCAAACAAGAATATTAAAGTTGTCTTCAATATATTGATATAATCGCCTACAACCGAACATTAAGCTAAGTGTGACATTCGGAAAAAAAACGTTTTTGTGACTAAAACTATAGGAAATTGCTTCGGAATATTCGTCCCGTAAACTTTTTTCTTTGAAGTATAACAAGGAGTTAACCTTTTCAAGATGGCAATGTAGCCTTGAAACCTTTCTCTGGTCAAAAATGTGGAGGATCGATACCGTCGTTCTTATAATGACTCGAATAGTGTTTTTTTCTGATAATTTCTTCATTGTTAATTTTACACAGGAAATGTGCAATTCACTGCAGTGTACTGTCTCTGGGCGGTAATGTAAACACAAGACGGATGTCAAAGCCTGACATGGGATCCATCTTTCACATAAAAATCAATGAAATATTCTGGTCATAGGAATCCATTATGTGAATTATCAAAATTGTCAAAATTTAATGCTTTTAATCTCCTTGAATACTAAACGAACACTTATGAATCTTTTCTTGTTTACGAATTCCGCCCAGAGAGAACTGAGCTGAAAACTTTAGAATGGTGGATATCGGGATTGAGGCTTAATCCACTCTTTTTCTTAATCTCGAGATTAAATATTGCTTGTTCTCCACTCATTTTTAATCTCCAGATTAATCATCCGATCAGGATTAAGGATATCCTATTCTAAAGTTTTCAGTTCTGGTTTCAATATGTACTCAGAGTATACGCAACTGCAATTAACTTTCCTTGTATTATAACCCATGGTCAAACCCATTACGTGATTGCCTAACTACGTTATATATAACAGGTTATAACTTGTAATTACGCTGTTAAGATACAATTCTAGCCTAAACTGAAGAAATATAGCCCAGTTGATATAGAGACTCTGTACTGTTTACTGCGAGACAGTAATCTTCGCGGATTTCCACTTGATATCGATAGCTGTTCCTTGTTGAAACATACGAGTAGAGGATCACACCCATTGGTAGTGGCGTTGACAAGTCACGGGATTGTAGCCGTGTGGATCGTCATAATTTTATTTTATAATTATAATTATTATTGTTATTATGGGAAATGTTATTAATCTTCTCCAAATCTTAATAAAGGTGACAAAAAGGAATTATCAATAGTTTAAAAAAATGGTAATACTCTGGAGGATCTGTAAACATCTATATATAAATTTGGCTTGTCTGTCTGTTTGTTTGTTTGTATCCAATAAACGTCAAAACGGCTGAACCGATCGGGCCCAATTTTTTTGTGGGACATCACGTGAACACAGGGAAGATTTATGAATGACAAAAAAATTTTAAAAATATGTTTTAAAGGTTTTTAATTTTGTAAAAAATTTAAATTCTTGAAAATCCGCTAATTTTTTTTTCAAATTTTTTTCTTCTTTGTTTTAAAATGTAAGCAAAAAGAACATGTTCACAATTTAAATATATGATGGGCGCTTCGCCTAGAAAGAAGGGCGCGAAGCGCCTTGAATTTCCAGTAGCTAATAAATATTTAATGTTGTAACTTACGTTTTGGTTCATATTTGTACCAATAATTATTTGCGAAAGTTGCTTTTTAAACTTTAGAATAGAGTAAACATATTTCCAATATATTTCTGAATAAAAAAGGGAGTTTTGCAGAATATTACGCCAAGGGTTGTTGAAAACAACGCTTTTCCTTATCATCATCTACCCTGTATACTGTATCAATTTATATTTGTAATCCCTGATTGGGTGTCTGTTTGTTTGTTTGTGGGTCCGATCTAATATTCATAAACCCCTTGACCCTCAAATTTTGATTGGGTAACTCGGGAGAACCCCAGGAATGTTCTTAGCTTAGTTTTGAGTATATATAAGTTGAGAGGGTCACAATTAAAAGCAAAAAACATATATATATTTTAAAAAGTTTATTACTTTATCTCTATAATGTATTTTTAATACTTTCTATTGCATCAGTGCTAAAAAGACAAAGTTTTCAAGAATTAAATAATATTTCAGATTAAAATCCACGTAAACTAATTTAATGGGTTCAATAGTTATTAACAGTACATTTCACAAAGGTGATTAAAATCGTTATAATTATTTATCTAAAAATAAATATGTAGAGCCCCCACTACTACCCAATAAAATACATAAAATAGAGTATAGGATAAATATGATTTTGTACAATGTTATCATACAAACAAACAACAAATTTAAATCACAATTCAAACCATTTTTAAGTATATATTGGCGAAAATGTTTAAAATCTCTTCAAATCATCTCAATATTTCATTTTATTTTAATGACAAATGTAACACTTTAATAATATTTTGAAAATAACTTTGAGCTTTGAGGGCAAAAATTACAGGTTATAAAATCTTTTACAAGAAAACATCTCAAGGTTATGAAGAAATAAAAATATGAAATCAACATATTTATCAAAATTCACATATTTTGATTTTTTCTTCAATTTTTCCAATCACAATCGATTATTAATATACTTATTAAATTCATTTAAAAACTTCGATAGTTTTCCATTGAAAAATTTAATAAGAATAGAATATTAAAACAAATCTCTTTAATGGGAATGCAAGTGTGATTTTATGTGATCCTCCATGGCAATGCCTAATTCACCACTGTACCATCATTGTATTATGAATTTATTATGAATTAGATATCACTGTTTATAATTGGAAACCTGATTATTTTTAAGTTTCTTTCCAAATCTGATGTGCGCAATGCGCATTTTTATTCCTGGAAAACATAAAGGAATTATCAGAAATAAACACTTTTAAATCCAGAAAAACAATATCTTTCCACTGCAAATTAATGATCAGATAAAGATTTCAAGGATACCGTTGTAAATCGGGCATTGCTATCTTTGCATGGAGGGTCACTTGAAATTATGCTTACAGTCCCTTGAAAGATTTTCTCCTAAATTCGTGCTAAAATTCGGCCCTGAAGAGAAAATTTGCAAAATCTTGTTTGCTTTTCTGATTATCTCTCAGTCTCTCTATTGTTGCATATGGAAATTCTACTTATCTCAAAATTCCTGCTTCTTAATCTCAACTCGGCTTAATCTCAACTCGGCTGAAGTCTGGACTTAAAGGAACTGTAAAGTCCTAATTTCAAATGACTTTTCATGAAGAGTGGTACGTCCCGTTCACAACTGTACATTTAACCCAATTAACCCAATTCCGGCGTGAGGGGGGGGGGGTGTCCCTGGACCCCCCTTGACGAATTTTTGAGATAACTCAAAAAGTATTGGTTTAAGGCTGTTATTTTTTTTACTTTTCTAATTAACACACACTTTAAGCTCAAAGCGGGGCTTTTTTATACCTACTGCCTGAATGCCTTATTTTACCTTTACCCGACTAAATCTAAATTTAGACCTACTTCCAGTCATTGGATTTCGACTTTTTATTGCTCTTTAGAAAGCCTTAAAAAAAAGGAAGCAGAATAAACAATTTTTGCAAAGAAATTTTGCATGGATTTTTGCAAAGATGCCTTAAATTATAATTTGCAAATTTTCAGTTTTCCTTGAATACAAATTTAGTTTTTGAAAATTTGCAAATATTTTGCATATTTGAATTGACCGTGGTAAAGGCTTTTTAAAAATGTATAATTTATCATATTTCGCGCACTATTGTTCTTGCACATTTTTGGCTTAATAACTTGATATTGCAATAATTATTTGTAATTTTGCAATTAGCTATTTGTTTTTCAGATTATTAAAGTAGAACCTAGACTATTTTGGGTAAAACGGACGTCAGCCTGAAAAGGTTAAACGCGTTGTCAGGTCAACAATGTGTGAGATATCCATCATCTTCTCTTCAAAAATTGATTATTTTCAAGTGTGGTTTCTCTAAAAAAGACTTAAGCATTCATGCTTGAGAAACAATAAAGAATTTTGTAATAATTAACACTTTTAACCCCCCACAGTTTTTTTGCGATAACTCAAAAAGTATTTGAGCTAGAGAGCTTAAATTTTCTGGCTTTTCTAATGAACATATTCCGCTCACTTATGGCTAAAAGCTGGGCTGCCTTTATACCTACTGCCTTATTCCTCAGGCATACTGCATAAATTCCTTATTTTACCATCACCAGACTAAATCTATATTTAGACCCACTCTAGTCATTGAATTTCAACATTTTACAGCTCTTTTGAAAGCCTATTACAAAAGCAAGCATATTGCACAATTTTTGCAATGAAATTTTGCACACATTTTTTTACAGATGCCTTTAAAAGGAATTTTCCCATTTTTTCTTGCATAAACATTTATGTTTTAAAAATTTTGCAAATGTTTTTGCAAATTTGAATTCGCTGGGTCAAGGGCTTTTCAAAAATGTATCAAATAATTTAGATTTGTATCACAATAAGAAAATAGAGGGGGGGTGAATTTGCCCCCCCCCCCCCCGCCAACCATGGTAAGTATACCAGACGTCAGGCTGAATTGGGTTAAAGCTATAACATTGGCTAAATCCTCCACCGTAATGATCAGATAAAGGTTTTAAAGTGATAATTGTGAATCCGTCAAACCTCTCTTGAACAGTATCTTGAAATAACAACTTGAGGTTATTAATAAACTTATTAAAATGGGATTTGGTTCTAATCTATTTCATTACTGCAATTAAATGAATTTGCTAAGCAAGAACAGGCAAAATAACTGACCCTTCATTGTACAATTCCAACGATACCCATGAAACCTTTGCCTGACCAGGAATAAATGGTGAAATCTATGTTAAATGGTTTCTTTAACATTGTGGTTTTTTGTTATAATATTTACCTGCGGATTAATGCAGAAATATCACTCAAGAGTCTTTACATGGAGGGTCACTGCACTCACTGGAGGTTTAAGTCTTAAACCACTTAATTAATATTTCATGATCAAAGACGCCCGATAGCTTTCCTGGAAAATATTGTTTAACTCCAAGGATGAGACTTTAAAAACGACTGTACAGAGTTTATTTTTTCTTGGTTCTTTGAAACTGTAAATTTGTTTATTCCTTTGACAAATTATCAAAACTGACATTATAAACCAATTTGACTTTTAGCTTGTTGTATTTAAAGACGTTCAGGTCATCATTAAAGTTCTATCCTTAGTGGATAACCCTGTATACTGTTCCAAGTTATACAGAACACAGACAATATCACATGTGAACTTGCATATTCATACTTGGAAATAGGAACCCACACTGTGAGAACATTCTGTTCAAAATTTTTAACAAAATAATCGTAATTTAGAAATCCTTTTCCTTAGTTCGATGTTTAGGGTTTTCCATAGGGTGTAACTATCAGGTGATATACGGATCAGGTGTACTATCAAAACATTTCAGAAGAGAAACACGTGGTTTCTATTGGTTTCGTCCTTTCCGGTTCACAAGTCCTACTTTTCTCAAGGACATCGTCCTTTTCTATAGAGCTATGACGAGATTTGTCCTCATTTATCACTGAGTCATTTTCCAGAAATTTGGGGTCTGGATTCTCATGAGCTAATCTGTTTTTACGGTTTAGGTTTAGATTCGGAGATTCTGCACAACATTGTATTCCGATATCTCGAACTAATACAAGGCGGAGAGCTTCCTCCGCCACCCTATCCTCCACGCCGACCCGGCAGGGCGATTCAAACCCGGTTATATCGGCGGAGAATCGACTGTTTGTTGGACTAGCCGGACATATATCCTCTGTATCCAGACCGGAGTCCGTATGAAGTGTTTCCTGACGGACAAATCTGGGTGGATCCCCTCGGAGTAGGTTTCCCAAATCTCCCGACTCCAGGTCCCCATTGAGACCGGGCTCCGATAGGAACCGTATCTCTGGTGGTGCCGGCTCTATAAACACGGGAACTGTGATAAGATGAGAGGATTCTATATCAGAACTCATAGATATAGAACAGGAGGAGGAGATGTAACCCTCCCCTTCATCAAACGGCAGCTCTTCCACAAAATCCAGGTTTGGCTCCAATAGTCTTCTCCGTCCCTCCTCCTCCTCTTCCCTCCTAGAACCTGGAACCTCGAAGATTATTTCCTCCTGGTCAATAGAGAGGGAGCGAAGAGAACCTTGTTCTGAGAACGTTCCTTGGGTTCCCAGCCTCGCTAACCTCTTGCTGAAAAGGTCAGATATGGACGAATGAAAGTCCTCGTTAAGCTCCGAGTAGGCTGATAAATTAGAGTCTGGAATCATGAAGCTAGATTGACGTTGTAGTCGGGGTCTACGCCCTAAGTTCTCCATTGACGCAAATATATCCCCGTCCCCTTCTGACGCAATTGAATAATAGGATTCTATACTGTACTGGGGACTGAGTCGACGTCGACCGAGAAGCGGAGATCCCTGTTCGTCACAGGGAACTGGACTGCTAGGAAGTCGTCTTCTATCAGTTGGCGAGTGCCTGAAAAAAAAGTTGAGGTAGAGTGAAATATGTGTTAGTTTCCACAGTTTTCTGCAGTCTTGGAGGTCAAAATGGAGTTCAATGACCTAATTTGAGTCTAAAATTAAAAATGCATTATACATGTTAAAAGTGAAATTTGCAAATTTTAAGTTTAGTTTTCTTGTTTATACAAATGCAGGATGATAAAATTTTGCCCATATTACAGTAAAAAATTTTTTATTGAAGACACTTTTTAAGACAAAAATACAAACGACTTTTTTCCACACTTTTTAGGTCACCACAATTGAAAAAGAAAGGTTATTGTTGTGTGAACGAATTATAGAAATGTCCTCTGTACTATGATTCACTGAGCTAAATTTCCCTAAATTGGAGAAATTATCTAGAAATTTCATTCAATTTTGTTAAAAATAATAGTAAATGGAAATCCGAATTTTAAAATTCCCCGTTCTTACATGTTCAATAATAATTAGGAAAAAAATATTTCTGATTTAGTGTCCTAACTATACACTGTTAGGAGTTCGAAGTGGGCACGTTTTGATACCGAACGGCAAGGTTCTGAAAATTTACAGAAGATTCTAATAACAAGCAACAAAAATCGTAAATTTTGAAATCGTTAACAACCGAAAATAACCGTTAAAGATTAAGTAACGAACGGAAAAAAATTGTTATGTTTTTTTCTGTTATGCTAATGTTATTCGACTCGGATCATAAAAAAATGAATTTAATTCCAAACAAATCATTCAGATATTACAACAATCTATAATTATTGATTTTTTTTCGACTGCATAATATTTTAGATTTGTTAAAAATTATATTTTGCTTACAACTTGTTTTCACGACTGACGCTGGATTTATGAACATTCCTGTGAAATGTGAAAATTCAGTATCAAAAATCCTTGTAACAGGAATGAAGTTTTAAAAAATATTAAGAAATATCAGCTATATATGAATGCGTAGAAAAAATAATCGATGCTTATAGGTTAATTGTAATATCTGAATGATTTGTTTAGATTTTAATTCATTTTTTTAACGATCCTAGTCGAATATTGCAACTTTGTGAAATGGTGTGGACGCTACGTTCTTCGGTATGAGTCGTTTTTTACAAATTTCTCCTGATAGACGCAACAGATAGAAGTAAGATTGTTAGCAATCACCATCGAATATTTTTCGACGTATGCCTATACCCCTTTATATTTTCGTAAACACGGGATTTTTACGAATGATTTGAAAAAAGTCCAAACGTAATATCGAGCTAACCGAAAGCATTTAAAGGATACCAATATTTTGATCGAAATTGCGAACAGGGTATAATCACAGTAATCATTGTTTCAACACGCTTGGGGTGTTTCGATAACTTGGAGATAACGGATTTCTCCGCGTGGCTTGGGTTAAATATAGAAACCAAACATAAACAAGAAAACCCGTTAAATATCAGTAAAAGGTGGGGGGGGAGGCAAAATGGGGTTGAGTGCGAACGAAGGGTAAAAATAACTGACAAACAAAATGCTATTTACAGTCGCAGGAAAGATCAAAACATCATTTTCCTGCTACAATATTACTGACACATCTTACAACGTTTTGCAGAATAACAAAACAGTCTTTTCTTTCACATAAAATATACTCTAACAGACGTAACTTTATTTTGACCATTGAAGCACAACGCTAACTCTTAACAATTTCTAATTCATCCCTTAATCCCCACGTGTATTCCAAATTTCTTGATTAGTCTTTAAACGGTAATAAAAACCTAAAATGTCCTAAAAATAAACCAAAAATTTATCTCAAATCAAGAATCACCACAACTTTGCTATTATATTGCGATTTTTCATTTTATCTTAATATACTAACAGTGTTGTCTTTTATTCAAATTAAAGCATAGTTCTTTAAAATCTTTTATTTGAAACGCTATAATAGGCAAAAAAAATCCTGATGTATAATTGTCAAGAGCACAGCTGAGCGTTGGAATCTCCGTATTTTTACCTGGAAATAGTTTGTTTTTCTTGTCCTGGTACTTGCAGGTAGCTCATAGGACTGGTCAGCTCGGCAGGAAGGGTCATCTGACGAGCTCCTAGTCCTCGCCGCCGTCGTGCCGCTGTCGGAGAATCTACGCTGGCCTTTAAAAAGTTAAAGTTGAATTGGTATAAAGTGAGAACCATAAAACTTCAGAATATGAAGACGTCTTTTTAAATGATTTTTGATTTAGTATAGTGATACATACTGAAAAATCTTTAATCCGTTGGATTTTCGTCTGCTAGAGTTTGGAATTTGGTTTAAATAAAAATAAACTCTAGCAGACATAATTATATTTTATTTATTACGAACAGTTGCAGTACAGTTTGGTACAAGTTGCTCCAATCTTCTGTAAGGTATGTTCTCGAATCTTTATATTTATACATAATATTTATGGTGAGTAAGAAAACAGGGGTTATCAATGTTTTTTGGCAAAATTTTCTAAATTTTTATTTTGCTCGGATTTAAGTCATAATCCCTGTTTTCTTACTCACCTTGAATTTGCACAAACTTTACTGCGGAATTTGTTCAATTTTGTTTTTTGAATTCAATTTGTGTCCGCTTTATGTAAATATATCAAATATAAAGTATTGAAATGATTTTAAAACATACAGAATACACAGGCCGGGTGTCAGGGGAAATATACAAAACTAGCTGCAGGGCCAGGCGTTGCCCGTGGAAAAAATATTGAAAAAAAATGTTACCCTCAGGCTACCGATGAGTGCCCACAAAAAATTTGGGCCTATGCGACCCAGCCGTTTGGCCGGTTAAAGGGAACAGTAATACGAATGTCTTGTTTTATTATATAGATACAGGGTGTCAGCTATTTTTCCCGCTCATGTTTTTATACAAAACTAAGAACATTTCAGTTGCTCTCTCGAGTTCCCTAATCAAAATTGAGGCAACTCGGTCCAGGGGTTCATGAGTTAAGATCAGACATTCAAAAAGACAAAAACAGAAAAAATTATATACAGTGTTAGGCGATCATATCAATGCAATAAAGACGATTTTGATTTCAATATTGATTTATATCAAGCTGTAAAAATGCTTTTCTTTGATTACTTGTAAACTTGCAATTCAGAAAAAAGCTTATCAACAATACAAACTTAAATAAAAAGTCGTCTTCATTTTATTGATATAATCTCCTACCATTTATCTTCAGGGTCAATTTAAAAAACCAACCTGGAGGGATGATTGTCTTGTGCATCTTGATCTTCTTGATTTAGTATCTAAGTTCCCGTGTTGTCCATGTTGTCCATGCTGTACATGATGTCCATGGTGTCCATGTTGTCCATGGTGTCCATGTTGTCCATGTTGTCGACATACAGGAAGGGTTTGCTGATTAAATTGATCGTCTTGCTCTTGTTGTTCTTGTTGTCCTGGATCTAAACTATCTAACGAATTCTGCTCACTAAAGGAAACTCGACGAATCTAAAAAGAAAAATAATTATAGGAAACTTAATGAATCTAAAAAGGAAAATAATTAAAGGAAACTTGATGAATCTAAAGCAGAAAAATAATTAAAGGAAACTTAATGAATATAAAAATAAAAAAGGATTATGAGGAATATCAGGGGGGGGGACTTTTGCTTTAATAAAAAATTCACATTTGATAAGTATTTCAGTCTATACAAAAATGTGCTCTGAGGTTAAACTTTTAATTGTCAATGATTTAAATAAAGTTCTAAAGCATTGCATTAAGTTGTCAGCTAAAGTTGTCAGCTAACATAAAGTTGTCAGCTAAAGTTGTCAGCTAACATAAAGTTGGAAAGTAAATTTTAAATGAATATGGTGGGGATGAACCGGGAAGATAATATTGTCACTAGTGATAAAAAGTAAATAATTGCATGCATGAAAATATTATTACCCTAGTGGGAGAAGGAGGAACTATAAGAAGGGGTATTCCCGCGTATAAATTCTCTGGATCAGCTGATTCTGTATCACGTGACTCCCCGGACATACTGCGCATACTGCAAGTCGGAGATATATTTGGAGTTGGTTGTATCACGTTTATATCAATTTTAAGTGTCTCCTCCATCTCAATTCTAGGAGGACAAAGAGGTCGTCTTCTACAAGATCCCAAACGAGGCACAGGGTCCCTCCGTTCTCTTGAGAACAGTCCGTTTACCGCCACGATAAGTGAATGCTTTACTGCTGTTGGGAAGTATATCTCCGGGTCGGATAGAGATCGTTTCAAGCTGACCGGCGTGTTATAATCATGCTCTACAGGAATATACAGCATAGCTCCAGGTAAACTTTTGACAGTGTAAGCTGTTGATAATGCTGAGACGAGACTGGATCTTCGCTCCTCATCATCATGTGCACTAAAAAGCACATAGTACAGAAATAAATAGATTTTTAACAAATATTTTGACAAAAAAAACATTTTGACCTTAATGTGCTAAAGGGTTATTTAAAGAATGGGAGTCAATTAAGGAACCATACATTTATCGTCTATGCTCATTCTAAAATGTGTCATTTGCACATTGACAAGTAGAATTTTCCGGTGAAAATTAATGATTAACGATATTTATTAATAATTCAAAATCAAATTTATTTCAGGCAGAGCTCTGTCATTAGTCAAATCATAACTAATAAGAATCAGAGGCGTAAGGAAGGCTCAAGTGTAGAAAAGGTTGGGATTTATTTTATAAATCTCAGCTCTGGTTGTCCACTATCGGGTTCAAAGAGTTCCAAACGAAAAACATTTTTAGTTTGTTTATAAAATCTTGTTAAAACTTATTTTTATCTTTTTAGAGTTTTAAATTTTAAATTGATGCAAAGTCAAGGATGCATTTGGGAAAAGTTAAAAAATATAGAGGTTGTCCCATTTAACGTTCAGGGTTACCTACAAAATATAATACTGTACAAAATTTATATTGTCTGTTTCCTTACATTAAAGATTTCCTGCAACTATAAACTTGTTATTTTTTTGCCAAATCATGATATAAGCTATTGTCATTTGATATTGATATTGTCATTTTTTAAGAGTTTCAAGTAGTCTTTAAAGTCTCATCCTTTGTTGGTGACCCTGCAGTACATGGCAATATTTTTTATAAGGATATAAGGTATTGCGGCATTGATCCTATAACCTAATTTTACAATTCTTAAAGCAATAATTATTAAATATTTGTAGACATGGCATTAAAAAAAACTAGGTTTGCCTTTTTTAGTGCCTTCAATATCAAGGGGGATATAATCTTTTTTTAAGATTTCAATTCGTAAACTGTAATTTATAGTTGTTGCTACTGACTAGGTGAAAAGTATAGTTGTTGGTACTGACTAGGTGAAAATTATAGTTGCTGGTACTGACTAGGTGAAAAGTATAGTTGCTGGTACTGACTAGGTGAAAAGTATAGTTGTTGCTACTGACTAGGTGAAAAGTATAGTTGCTGGTACTGACTAGGTGAAAAGTAAAGTTGTTGGTACTGTCTAGGTGAAAAGTATAGTTGTTGGTACTGACTAGGTGAAAAGTATAGTTACTGGTACTGACTAGGTGAAAAGTATAGTTGCTGGTACTGACTAGATGAAAAGTATAGTTGTTGGTACTGACTAGGTGAAAAGTATAGTTGTTGGTACTGACTAGATGAAAAGTATACTTGTTGGTACTGACTAGGTGAAAAGTATAGTTGTTGGTACTGACTAGGTGAAAAGTATAGTTGTTGGTACTGACTAGATGAAAAGTATAGTTGTTGGTACTGACTAGGTGAAAAGTATAGTTGTTGGTACTGACTAGATGAAAAGTATAGTTGTTGGTACTGACTAGGTGAAAAGTATAGTTGTTGGTACTGACTAGATGAAAAGTAGAGTTGTTGGTACTGACTAGGTGAAAAGTATAGTTGCTGGTACTGACAAGGTAAAAACTAGGTGGAACCACTTTTAAAGAACTGTCCCTGTTATTCAGATGAACCATTAAACACTTGCAAGCACAATTCACAGTGGTACCATTTAAACCTTAGCTTTGTCTGAGCAAACATGATGAACTCTGAAAAGCTAAAGAATAAAATGAGCAGAATTCAATAATATTTAACTTTTAAGAAGGAAAGAACATCAATATTTTTTATTTATCATCAGATAAACGTATTAAGATACCACATGTGAATATCGGGCAGTCTCTTGAATGAAAAAAATAAAAAGCTCCAACCTGTAAGCGCAAGAGCAGGACCCGTTTTGAGAGTTGGAGATTGGAAAAATATAATTTCCATATTCATCAAGGTAAAAAATGTCGTCTTCTTCAACTTCCTCCTAAAATAAACAAGGTTAAATTATGTTTTATATTAACAAAATGTATGTTTAATACAATGTATGTCTTAATACAATGAAGACATGTTTCTATCTCTTTTTTCAACTTTCTACCAAGTTTTCCAACAGCAGAGACACATGTAAAAAAAAAATTCTCAATCAAATCTTCTCTTTGTTATTAATATGTACTTTGTGTAGAAACTATAGAAACAAATACTATCTAAGTTGTATAGAAACTATAGAAATGAATACTATCTAAGTTGTGTAGAAACTATAATAACAAATACTATCTAAGTTGTATAGAAACTATAGAAACAAATATTATCTAAGTTGTATAGAAACTATAGAAACAAATAATGTCCAAGTTGTATAGAAACAATAGAAACAAATAAAATCTAAGATGTATAGAAACTACAGAATTCCAAATTGTATAGAAACTAAAGAAACAAATAAAATCTAAGATGTATAAAAAGTATAGAAACAAATACTATTTAAGTTGTAAAGAAACTATAGAAACAAATACTGTATAAGTTGTATAGAAACTATAGAATAAATTACTATCTAAGTTGTATAGAAACAATAGAAACAAATAATATCTAAGTTCTATAGAAACCCAAAAATCTTGAAAATCTTGAGAAGTCTAAACGTTTGCCAGAATTTCTTCCACAGAAAAGAGTTCTTTCGGATGAAGTTTGAAAACAAATAATAGAACTAGAGAACTAAAGAACTAGAAAACTAGCAAGTTTAAACTTATACAGTCGACCTCGACAAAAAGGTTAACAGTGTTCACATGTAAGAAAAATGGTCACTAATTTTGAAGGGAAGTATTAACGTTAAAAACAACTGTTTACACGATTTAAAGTTATCCTCCGCATGTCCGATTCAAAACGGTACCATTAAAACCTTCTCTAGGCAAAAGTATTGACTTAATCTTGATTTTAAATTTGAAAAATTGCGGATTTCTGTGCAAATCATTTGCGGATATCTTTATATCTATATTAGACAAAAAGAGCCTAATTCGGAAAGGGTTTAATGAGTGTGAACTTAAGATATGTTTACAGTCCCTATAAAGAAGGAATTATTGTCAAATATTGATGGGTACACTATAAAGAAGGATATTGTCAAATATTGATGGGTACACTATAAAGAAGGAATTATTGTCAAATATTGATAGGTACACGTTATAAAGAAGGATATTGTCAAATATTGATGGGTACACTATTAAGAAGGAATTATTGTCAAATATTGATGGGTACACTATAAAGAAGAAATTATCGTCAAATATTGATGGGCACAGCTATAAAGAAGGAATTATTGTCAAATATTGATGGGTACAGCTATAAAGAAGGAATTATTGTCAAATATTNGCAAATAAATTAGACAAGTTCGAGTTTGTGGCAAAGACTTAATTCCTTTTTGCCACATTTCAATTAACAAAACATCGAAAGAAATTTAGTTGTATCTTCTGTGTTTGTGTTTATATGTTGCCTTACGGCTACGGCCTGCCAAAATGTATTCTAAGAAATATATATATATGTTAACTATAGCTCATGTGTACATGTATAATTTTTTTTATATATATATATATATATATATATCCAATTAGGATTAAACTAATTTATTTTACACAATACTACTCTACTTAGATCTCTTTATAGGAGAACATTATATAGTGGAATAGATTGGCATTACACAGATGTATATATCAACCAAAAGATGTCTTCGAACTAGGATTTTCCAGCGAATGAACGCGTAAAATGCGAAAATTCGCACACATATTTTCTTTCGTTTTCGTAAGCTTTTTCGCGAAAATGAGTTTTGCGAAAGGAAGCAAAAACAAATGCGGAATTTTATTTTAAAAAATATGTGACAATGTAACGAAAAAAAATGAGAAAATTGTTTCAAAACAAAAGATGCAAAATTTCCCAAAAACTAAGGAGGACATTTTCGCAGTTTTGGTTTAATTTCGCGAAACGATTCTCCCGGATTTTGCTTGAAACCCTACTTCAAATACATTTAACTTCCTGAATTTTAGATTTATATTCTAAAGATTTCTTATAAATTTTGTTAATTAATTTAATCATAAAAAGCTGCACACACTACACAGTGATCCAAGTTGCAAGCACACGTAAGAACGTTGCCAATTACTTTGTAAAAATAAAGTTGAAACAAGTGGTTTATAGATCTGAAATGTATGAAACATATCTAGGACTAGAAAAAAGTATAGTTAAGTTGTTTATGTAAAATAAACATTCTGAATAATGCAAGCTAAAATAAGTGTGCTAACAAAAATCAAGTACAAAAGGTGGCAACAGAGAAATGGACCAATGATACACGACGTCACAAGTGTACAATATAACAAGGAAAACGAAATTTTCTCACATAAGTTGACATGTTTTCCAAGATTGAATAAAAAAGTGTAAAAAAGACAGAAAATACAGAGCACAAAAAAATGCACTTATTTTACTCTGTTAGATAAACACTTTATTCTGAAATTATCGCTATTATTAATAATTTTGTCGGACACAAAATTGAGTTGGCACTTGTAACGTCAGAATTTACAGCTGTACTGAGAGTGTCCAAATTCTATGTTGCCATCTATAGTACTAGAATCTATTCGACTAAAATACTAAAATTCATGAACGGATTAAAAAAGGTGAGACAACGACTTGAAGTAAACCGCCAGGGAATCGACTGAACGATATAGACACAGATATAAAGTTTTGTGAGCTCTATTTTCCTACTTGTAAGTTTTGTGAGCTCTGTTTTCCTACCTGTAAGTTTTGTGAGCTCTGTTTTCCTAACTGTAAGTTTTGTGAGCTCTGTTTTCCTACTTGTAAGTTTTGTGAGCTCTGTTTTTCTACCTGTAAGTTTTGTGAGCTCTGTTTTCCTACCTGTAAGTTTTGTGAGCTCTGTTTTCCTACCTGTAAGTTTTGTGAGCTCTGTTTTCCTACTTGTAAGTTTTGTGAGCTCTGTTTTCCTACCTGTAAGTTTTGTGAGCTCTGTTTTCCTACCTGTAAGTTTTGTGAGCTCCTGTTTTCCTACCTGTAAGTTTTGTGAGCTCTGTTTTCCTACCTGTAATTTTTGTGAGCTCTGTTTTCCTACCTGTAAGTTTTGTGAGCTCTGTTTTCCTACCTGTAAGTTTTGAAGGCAGCCAGGCATCTTTTGAAGTGGCAAACATTCGAAATCCTTAAATATTAAAATGACTATTTCAAAATTCGATTTTTATAAATTTCACGAGCAACTTGGGGCACTTCAGCTAGTCTTTATAATAAAGCTTTTCGCTCATGTGTACATGTATAATGCATATATGTTAACTATAGCTTATGTGTACATGTATAATGTATATATATGTTAACTATAGCTCATGTGTACATGTATAATGTATATATATGTTAACTATAGCTCATGTGTACATGTATAATGTATATATATGTTAACTATAGCTCATGTGTACATGTATAATGTATATATATGTTAACTATAGCTCATGTGTACATGTATAATGTATATATATGTTAACTAAAGCTCATGTGTACATTTATAATGTATATATATATATATGTTAACCATAGCTCATGTGTACATGTATAATGTATATATATGTTAACTATAGCTTATGTGTACATGTATAATGTATATATATGTTAACTATAGCTCATGTGTACATGTATAATGTATATATGTTAACTATAGCTTATTTGTACATGTATAATGTATATATATGTTAACTATAGCTCATGTGTACATGTATAATGTACATATATGTTAACTATTGCTTATGTGTACATGTATAATGTATATATATATGTTAACTATAGCTCATGTGTACATGTATAATGTATATATATGTTAACTATAGCTCATGTGTACATATATAATGTATATATATGTTAACTAAAGCTCATGTGTACATGTATTATCTATATATATATATGTTAACTATAGCTCATGTGTACATGTATAATGTATATATATGTTAACTAAAGCTCATGTGTACATGTATAATGTATATATATGTTAACTAAGGCGTATGTGTACATGTATAATGTATACATATGCTAACTTTAGCTCATGTGTACATGTATAATGTATATTTATATGTTAACTAAAGAATTCTTTTTCGGGAACCCATGGATACCCTTAAGGGATAAATATTTGAACTTTTTTTAAAATCATTTTTTTAAATCAATGTTTTTTTTCGGACAACGCTAGGCACTTTATTTTAGTCTTTATGATAAAGCTATTCGCTCATATAAATATATATATATGTCAGCTATATCTTGCCAAACGGCTCGACCAAATTTTTTAGTGAACCCTTGGGTACCTTGGGGGTAACATAGGCTAACAATTCGGAATTCTACGGGCAACGCAGGGCACTTTAGCTTTAGAGGTAACATTGCTTAATATTTCTGCGTGCTAAAGTAATTGAGTCTTTGCCACGAACTCAAATTTTCTAATTTCTATATCTTTATAACTTTATCGTATCTTGATATTTTAAGCTTTGATTATTTGATCTAACAGAATTTATAATTTGAAATATCTAAGGTCTTCTTCGTTGGTTTGTCAAGATATTGGATTTAGAAAATAAGAGTTTGTATTCTCAATATGTTTACAAATATCAATTTAAGAATTAATTACAAATTTTATGTTTTAAGAAAATAAGAAAGAAGACGACAATTCCACATCCGTTCTTTCGTACAATCAAAGAAAAATGCTAAACCAAAGGTTAAAAAAAAACACATTTTTAATGATATTTATTTAATAATTCTAAAAATTTAATTTCCTATCTTGATTACAATCCTTGTTTTCAGGAATGTAATGCAGAGTCAAGCAACAGAAAAATATAGAGAAAACATTATAAAAATTACACAAAACTTACAGGAAAATACAGAAAAATGTAGATAAATATCGAAAAATATGATAAGGTATAAAAAAATAGGAAAACACAAAGATATATTTAGACAAATATAGACAAATATAAAAAAAAAATATAGAAAAATACATTGAAATACAGAAAAATATAGAAAATATAAAAAAACATGAACAGGGTATGTCAAAAAATATACGCTTTGTTGTCTTATAAAACACTTTTTTATTTTTTAAGATTTGTTGATGACTGGATGTGCTCATAATTCTTCGCGAATTTTTTTGAAATTTTGGAATAGAAAAGAATACAAACTTTCTCATATATTTATTTCCAAAATTATATATTTAAAAAAATATTTTCGTTAGTTTTTTATATTTTTCGTATTTTTTATATTTTTTATATTTTTATGTTTTTATATTTTTTATAATTTTTATATGCACCATATAATGTCTAACCTTAAAACAAGATTCATGCAACAAAAAAGTGATGTAATTGTAATTGAAATTGTAATTCTAACTGTAATTATAATTGTAATTGTAATTGTAATTGTAATTGTAATTGAAATTGTAATTGCAATTGTAATTGAAATTGTAATTGTAATTGAAATTGTAATTGTAATTGAAATTGTAATTGAAATTGTAATTGTAATTATAATTGTAATTGAAATTGCAATTGTAGTTGAAATTGATATTGTAATTGTAATTTTAATTGTAATTTCGAGAAAATTTGACGTAATTTCGTAATTTCTTGAACAAATACAATGGTTTACCATAAGTCTCAACCTCTAACTTAAAATATTAAATCTTATGCACTAACTCAACCATCTTTGTAAAGAGAAAAATTATGAAAAATTACCTTATGAAAATGTGTAAATGAACTATTGATTTCTGAACGCGTAGCAGGAGTATTGGTTAGTTTCTTCTTTCGTTCTTTCCACATTGGTTTCAGCTTGGACTAGATACAAGTTTATTAGAAAAATGCGATATCATCCACATTTTTAACATATAAAGGTTTAAAGCCAATCGTCTTTTTAAAGTTTTCTGATAAATACAAGTGTAGATACTATTGTAAAAAATATATATTAATTTTTCCTTACAGTCAAGGTTCTTCATGCTTTAATCTAGAATATTTTGATCCAAAATTATTAATTCAACATCGAGTTAAAAGACAATAAAAAGGCAGCATCTTAATTTAATCTAAACGGCGACCAACCAACCAGACAACTATGGAATAGTAAGACGACATTAAAGCAAGAATTAGGTTTATGTGATGTTATTACTAAGCAAATAATTTTAGCATATTCAATCACAATGTCCGTGTCATTTGACTATTCAAAGTAATAAATTGAGCCTCTTATTCCAGAGTTTTCTGGTTCTCACTGTATATAAATAGTTTGGGATCGTCTTTACCTTATAAACGACCATGAGACAGACGAATACAAAGAACCCTCCGAGCACCACAGCAGTCGTCACACCCTCCGATGGATCGTAGGCGGAGTAGAATGATGTTTGGTCTGGAGTCAGGGGTTCAGGAGGTGTGTCTTGAGCTCCCTCCAGGAGGCGTTCAGTTCCGTTGAGGTGAAGAACCCGAGGACTAGGAACTAGGTCAACATCTAAATATCAAAATTTCATTAAAGGGATCTTTAACGTTAATTATTCAATTAAAGGGACTGTAGACGTAATTTCAAGTAAATCTCTATTTAAAGCTTGACATGTTTGATTCACAACGGTACCCGTTGAAGCTTTGCCATGTCAAGAATGAATAAGATGTCTGTCATCATCATCTATCATCGATACAGTGCCAGCTGCTTTCCTGCTTTCAGGAGAAAAACTTGTTATTTCGGAAAGTTTCTTTTGAATGTGTAGAATACTTTCCCAAAACAATGCTTATGAAATATTTTATGAGGTCTTCAATTTGTATTTGTAATAAAAATATTGAAAAATATATTTTAAAACAATATCCTTTGACCCTTCAAAATTAAATGGTGAAGGGACCTTTTATACAGTAGTCGACGTTTATACGAATGAAGACGACTTTTTTCTTACAAGATTTCTTCATATTACAAGTTTACAAGTAAACAAAGAGAAGCTGTAAATTGACAACTTATCTTTGTTTCAAAATTTATGTGTCCATGCTGTTTGAAAGTTGGATAGAAATAAAATATTTAAATCGAAAGTCATCTTCATTGTTTTGCTATAGATATTAGAACAAAACTACCATTTTGTTCATAATAGCAACCAAAAACGATTCTGAATCACGATCATTTTGTTCGCGATTATGAACAATTATTCAACATTGCTAACATTATTTTTGTAATTTCAAAATTATAACGATAAGTTCGATGTTACGAACAATATGTTAGGGTGTTTACAAACAATAAACCCATTTCGATTACAAGTTCGGAAAATTGTTCTAAAAAAAATTAAGAATTTGAAATTCAAAAATGTTCTTATTTCTTGGAAGAAGAAAAACAAAGTCGTCCAATGTTTGCAGGATTCTAGAAAACAGAACTCTGAAAATATGGGAACATTTCACGTCAAACTAACTTCCTATTCGTATCGGAATATTTTCAATGTTTATCTTTGTGTGAAAGGCATTATATACTTAAATATTCAAAATACATAGCCAAACAAAAAAGTATTGAATAACAAATATGAAAAATCTGCATTTAATGAATGAAAATTGGTTCTAAAGCTTAGACTCACTGGACTTGAAACCATGACTCCTAGTTTACCGTGATTTTATAAAAATAAAAAGGTTTCGCAAACAAACATCTCCCGCTCCCAGCATTATGAAATATAGAAAAACAACTTTAAAAAAAGAAAAAGAAAATACATATTTTTTTAAAAAACAGAGTTAGTGTCACTAACTCTGATTTTCTAATTTGTTAGATCAATAAGCTAAGTTTGAAATATTCAAGGTTTACGCCATCAGGTTGCAAATAAATTAGACAAGTTCGAGTTTGTGGCAAAGACTTAATTCCTTTTTGCCACATTTCAATTAACAAAACATCGAAAGAAATTTAGTTGTATCTTCTGTGTTTGTGTTTATATGTTGCCTTACGGCTACGGCCTGCCAAAATGTATTCTAAGAAATATAGAATTCTAGTATGCCGAGTTCATTAGAGCCTGATCCAATGAGGGTTCAGCCATGTGTTTGGTGTCTATTCTGAACCAATAGAAATTGCATGGATGGTAACATCTATCTTTCTATCTAGCTCATTATCCAATTAGAGATAAATCCTTATATCGGCGCGAAACAGTAAATGGAAATATTTACTACTACTGAAACTATAGTGCTGGAACAAAAATAAAAATCTTAAAGGAATTGAGTCTTTGTAACAAAATCCAATATTTAAACCCAATATCTTTAGAACCCGATGTTGTAAACCTTTGATATTTAACAGAATTCATAGTTTGAAATATCTAAGGTCTACAACATTTGGTTCCAAAGATATAGTGATTAGAAAATCAGAGTTTGCGGCAAAGATTCAATTCCTTTGTCCCATGGTTATTTTTGGGTGACATGAACATAGGATAGGTGACAGATTACACCGTTTCGGCGCGGACGTTAGTTTTCTGTTAAGTGCTGCACGATTTTTGAAATTCCACTGGCAACGAAGGGCAGTATTTCTGTAAGCATGTGTGTATATGAACCATGAACATGTTACTAGAACTGTATCTAATTAGCTGGAGTTCCAATATTATTCTTTTATTGTATTTTCACTGCTGGGAACAATTTCTTGGGGAAAGTACTTTTATCAAAAAAAGAAAAATACTGTTTGTGCGAAGAATAACAAATATCTAATATTTTGCCGTTTTTTTTTTTTTAATGTGAACAGAAAATGTATTCCCACTTTTTTATTTTCTAAAATCTAAGCCAAGTTCAAAGCCAAAAAAACCTTTTAAATCATAAACAAATAATAAAAATAAATGATATGATATAAATATTCTTAATCTAAAATTAAAAGAATTCAACCCCAACCTTGATCTCTCCCCTCCCCTCCCACACAAATATAAATAAGGAACAGATGAAAACGAAGAAAAAGAAGAAAATCTGAAAAAGTTTAGATTTTTATAAAATAATATCGATAACTGTCAACGGTTGAGTTGAGAAATCCATTTATAAAATGAAAGAATAAATATTTAAAAACAAATTCAGAGTATTAAAAAGTTTTTTGAAAAAGAAAATTTTTAGAAAGAAATAAGAGAAGAATTGATGAAGCTAGCAGATTATTTAATCTTTATAAACCCTAAAATCTCTTTATCCCATTGCTCCTTTCCTGTTTATAATTAAAATTTTAAACAAATGTTACAAACATGGATTTTACTTTTCAGCACGTCAAATTAAGATAAATTAAGTCTTTGACACAAATTCTGATTTTCTAATCCCATATATTGTTGTAAGCTTTTTGATATTTAAAACTATCAATTTTGTGATATCTAAAAGTCAAACCTTAAAATATCCGGCTTCAAATATATCGGGCGGATAAGACTCAATTCCGTTCAAGTTAGCTTTTTATCTTACATTACATGTTTACAATTAAATTAAGAAGAAGAAAAAAAATGTTTAAAATGTCCAGGATTGTGTTGTTCCAGAAATGCCGCACAAGTTTCTCTAGTGGAGTATGTTAGGCTGGCTTAACCCTATTCCGACTTGGGGGGGGGGGGTCCCCCGCCTCCTAACGTTTTTTAGACATAACCCAAACAGTATTTGTCTAAAACTATTCAAATTTCTTTGAATTTTTTTGAATTTTCTACGTTGCGTACTGCATGAGTCCTCATTAAAAATCTAAATTTAGAGTATACTTCAAGTAAATGGATTTCAACATTTTATAGCTTTTTTAAAGCAGATTGCATAGTTTTTTTGAAGAATTTTTGTAAAAAAAATTCACAGATGCCTTTACAGAAAATTTGCACATTTTTAGTGTTCTTGAATCTTAAAAAATTGCAATGAGACTGAATTTTAAATTCTAATTTCCTAACTACCAATATCTTTGTAACCCGATGGTGTTATCCTATGATGTTTCAATCTTGGACTAATTCATAAAGTAGATTTCTTTATTGCTACGATTTGAGATACCACCACAATCCTGTATGCCGAGTCCATTAGCGCCTGATCCAATTAGAGTTTAGTCATGTGTGTGTTGTCTATTCTGAACCATAGAAATAGTATGGCGGTAAGATCTATCTTTCTATCTATCTCATTATCCAATTATCCAACTATAGTGATCAAGTCCTTGATCTGAAGTGACCCTCTTTGTATAGAGTTGCATGATTCATACCTTCACCATTTAAACCTTTTTCAGAGGAAAAAAATCTTCGCTTTCCTATTTTAAAAAGAGGTTAATTCTGTCAATTCCCTGTCATGTCTTCGAAGAAAAGATCAGGAAGTCGCATATGATAAGAACCCACAATTAGGAATTATCTATTTTCAGATAGAAAAACTAGAAAAACTAGAAAAACTAGAAAAACTAGAAAAACTAGAAAAACTAGAAAAACTAGAAAAACTAGAAAAACTAGAAAGCCTAGAAAAACTAGAAAAACTAGATAAAATAGAAAAACTAGAGAAACTAGAAAAACTAGATAAACTAGAAAAACTAGAAAAACTAAAATATAATCAATCTTTTTGAAAAAGCAAAGGTTTAAAGTGGATTGCTATGAATTAAGCATGAAACACCTTAATATCAGGGTTTCTTAAAGTTTCGCCAACAGACCCTTTATAATGCCTTTAGTTTTGTACTTTTGTACCCTCCCCTCACAATTTTTAAATAAAGATCTATTCAATGGAAACTGTTTTGTTATTCCTCATACAGGGGGGGGGGGTGGTCAGGGGGCACAACATGTTCAAAGGGGTTCAAGTTTGGTTGGAACAATCACTTTTTCTTGCAAAAGGATTGTAGAGGCTTAAGTTTGATTAATCTTTTATTTTTCCTTTCTTGTATAACGCCATACACATTTTGGTAAAATTATAAAATATAAACGAAAGGAGGGGTGTATATTCCCCCCCCCCCTGTAATTTGGGATGGGTGGACCACTAGCTCCTTTCTCTTTACCTTGTGTAAATTCCTAGCTGTAGGATTTTAAATTAGTTTGTGAATTTTTACACCTGCAACTTTCTTCCTTAGGGCGACATAAATATATGGTTTAGGTTGGGACACAGAGATATGGTTTAAGTTGGGACATAAATATATGGTTTAGGTTGGGACATAGAGATATGGTTTAGGTTGGGACATAGAGATATGGTTTAGGTTGGGACATAGAGATATGGTTTAGGTTGTGACATAGAGATATGGTTTAGTTTGGGACAAAGAGATATGATTTATGTTGGGACATAGAGATATTATTTAGGTTGGGACATAGAGATATGGTTTAAGTTGGGACATAGAGATATGTTTTAGGTTGGGACATAGAGATATGGTTTAAGTTGGGACATAAATAGATGATTTAGGTTGGGACATAGAGATATGGTTTAATTTGAGACATAAAGTTATGGTTTAGGTTAAGACATAGAGATATGGTTTAGTTTGGGACAAAGAGATAGTGTTTAGGTTGGGACATAGAGATATGGTTTAGGATGGGACATAGAGATATGGTTTAGAAGAAAATATAT